CAAAAATATCCTTGCATTAAGATTTTAATTCAAAATTACCAAATTTATAAATTTTCTAATTTATCTATTGATTTGTGGTTAATATTGGTTCTCACAGTTACCACAAACAACTCAGTTCTCCCTTGAATAGGCCCCTATAAAGATAAAGATTATATCAATGGATAGACAAAGTTAACSATAATTCAATATTTTGGAATTCTCAATCCATATTGTGTCATTTCATTTCTCTTGGTTCTTACTTTCAAATATACAAAGATATAAGATAAACAAAACAAATGAAATAAACGTTTTATATTAATTGTATAACAAAATAGAATATCAAATCAACACAAAGAAAATTGTAACTAAAATTAACTATTTAATCCAAAATGAATTAAAATAATCATTAATAAAAAAACCATGTAAATAAAAAGTTGTCATTCTTTTCTTTATATAATCACCCCGAATGTTCCACCATATCATTTTTTTTTATCAAAGTTAGAGATGGAAAAAGTTAACTATAATTCAATATTTTGGAATCCCCAATCTACATTGTACTATATCATGTCTTTTGGTTATAACTTATAGATTATATATTTATAGACATAAAGATTTAAAGGTTTATTAGATCATTATATGTAACTTATATATATAAAGTAAATGAAAGGTTTATTCATTTAATGATATGTTTTTATTTAAAAATAATTCAAAAATTGAAGAAAATAGCAACTAATGATTCTAGCTCTCTCAAGATGCCACATCATCCATTGATGATTCTCCTTTATATAGATATAGAATATAGATATAGAAGATTAGTAGATCAGGGGAGAATTGCCAATATATCATCGTAGAACAATAATCAAATCCATATAAAAAGTCAATAAAGAACATCAAATTTTAGCATAAAACAGAGTCACTTCCGATTTGCCAAGCCTCTAGATGACATATTCCTTCCTATATTCACAAAACAAAGTCAACACAACACATGAATTTCCCAAAATAAGAACACACCTACCCTACAAATACCACAAGAATTCTGGATTATCCTCCAATCTCACATTTTTAATCAAAGCACCTTACAGATGTTTTTCAGCACCACTCGTTACTCGGAAACCAGCAAAACACAACATGATTCAACACCCAAGTCTTGTTCTCGGTCTTTTGGAAGCAATTATATCAAGTCCGCCACATTCATTGGCATTTCATCAATCTGGGTACTGTAGTACTGCTCTATGTCTCTTAGGATTTTGATATCATCGGTCTTCACAAAGTTTATAGCAACACCCTGCAAAACATTTGAAATGAATACTTTTAGATAAAAGTTTAGTCCTAGGAAACAGATTCAGTACACCTCATTTCACCTTTAGCATCACAAAGTCGTTGTTGTTGGCAAGAATGAAGTAATAACAAGAAACGACCCAAATCGAACCAATCCAGATAACAAGAATAGATTTTATCTACCACCACAAAATATAGCTGATGATACAGAATACTGACTTGAACTATTATGATACGACTAACAAGAAAATCAGCGGGCAGACCAAACATGTGCTTTTGCCTATGGTTTTTGATAAGCGATTGAAATATCATAAGTGTTGGGATTCAAAGATGAGCAATTGAAATATTATAAGAGCTGGGATTCAAAGTAATTAATCAAATATTACAAAAGTATACATCTAAACATGAATGGAACAGAAGAAAACAATTAAAAACATGCTAAAATGAGTAATAAAATCCTAAAGGGTGTAACGGGAAAGATAAAGAATTCGTGGTCCATTCTAGAATAACAAAAAAAGTGACCGTAGAACGGTCCTCTACAAGACTACAGCCAAGTATAACCAAAATCAGTTGTAAAACCAGGCATTTACTAAATTAAGTTATTACAACCTTTTTATTTCAAGTTATTTCAATTTATATCCCACATTTAGGGTTCCTTAATTAGTTGGGCATAAAAGAATTCTCTGTTCATGCCTGTTTCCCGATTAATGTCACTTGCCATGAGCCAACCACTATCATCACTTTGCACGAAAAACAGAAACTGACCTCGTAGTGAAAATAAGCTGCAATCTAATTAATAAATCAACCTTTAAGTGACTTAGCACTAAAAGAATTTGTTAATCCTCCTCTGTCCTACAATTAGAGTCCACATTTTACATTATTTAACCTCAAAATTTAATAGGACAATATGAAACCAATTTAGCGTTAGAAACAACAAACATCCGTGCCTGTTTTGAAAGCTATAATAAGAAAAAATAGTTTCGGATCATGTAGCACTAAGTCCCATTATATCAAACCCCAACTTCTTTGTATTTGGGAAGCCAAACCAGTGTCCTCTTTCCTCCTAAATGATTATTGTTCAGGGTCATTATGTCACTAAGCTACAGCTAGGTGCTCAGCCCACTCTGCATTTTGGCACGGTGCTTGATTTCGTAATAAAAATAATAATATACAAGTCAAGTTGTCATTACATCCTTTGAAGCATTCAGCAGATCTACAATTGGAATTCCCTCCTCATACCACATAAATAGTTTATCTTGRACCTATAAAGCAGCTATTTGCATCCAGGGCTTTCAAAAATCAATTTGYCATGGAAAACAAAATATMATGTTTGAAGTAGAAACTCGAGAAAAATAGTTCTTAAATTACCTTTCGTCCAAAACGACCAGATCGACCAATACGATGAATGTAGAGCTCTCGGTTATTTGGAAGGTCGTAATTGATCACCAGAGAAACCTAACAAGACAGAAAAGATCAAATCAGATGGTGCGAACATGAGTTAAGTCCCCTCCGATGATAGAAGATACACAAGACTTCTATATTAGATGATAATAGATTCACCACATGCTTTGATGCAAAGTACAAGAAAGAGCTCAAGTTTATATGGCTTCTCTTATTCAATAACATTACTATCAACAATGGCATCCAAAATTGTAATAACCAATTACTGTAAGTCTGTAACCAGTCTAAAGGGTGTGACACTGATACAACTTTGGAAGAATGCGACATCTTACAGGTGCTGCCCATGAATTCCGGTTCTTCATTATCTAAATTTCTCCAAATACTTGAAACAAAATCCAGAAACAGGTGCATATATTATGCATGTGGGGTTTACCAACTATCCATGATCTTACAATTCTTCAACAAGATTACAGTGGTTAAACACTATCTATATACTATATCATAAAGCATTAGACAAAAACTCTTAAAAACAATTTTTTATGCATGAAGTACTATTTATTGATGCATATTACTTAAAATTCAAGATTACAAGTAATTTTGCGTAAGTACAACTTATTAAAACTCCATTTTTAAATTTGTGTAACTAACTACCAATAAACATAATCAAAAGTTGATGCATCACACATCAGTAGTGTCATATACTCATATGACAGCTCCTACAACTGTATCATCGTTTCTCAGATTCACATAACACCCACTAAAAACAAGTCAATCGGTGAAGGTGACTTTCTGTTTACAGGTAGTTTCCTTTATGACAAACAAGAGTGACCATGTTTTGGAGATCAACTTATTACACATGATTCATATAGTTTAAAGGCCGTTTTTCCACTTTTCCATGTAGGCAAGTGCAAACAAAATCTACCAAAAGTAACATTATCTAATTATAGCCATATCCTCATAATATGAAGATTGTGATTCCTATGACCCTCTGTAGTAGCACTGTAGCACTGTAGCACTGTAGCACTGTAGCACAAGTTCAACAAAATGAAACAAAATAATAAGTTAAAGGTCTTGACTTGCCTGTTGAACATCCAATCCCCTGGCCCACACATCCGTGGTAATAAGAACACGGGTGACACCAGATCGAAATTCTTCCATTATAGCATCTCGTTCCTTCTGAGGCATGTCTCCATGCATGGCCGACACAGTAAAGTTGTTCTCCCGCATCTTCTCAGTTAGCCAATCCACCTACACCGGCACAAAGTGAGACAAAGTTAAATCTGAACCTAAATTCACTGAATTAGGTTTTACCTTAACTACATTCATTCCCAAGCTACATGCATGTGCAATGCCTATAGACATTTTTGGGCATACAGTTATCATATAAAGATGCTATCATTACAACACATATTTGTAGTGTAATTTCTAATTATTGAAGCTTGAGATGTTCCAAATATCCCATCCTGAAGGTTAGCTCAATCAATACTAAAATACGAGATGCTAGAAATATCCCCATTGCTGGAAAATGCATATTAGTTTTGCCACGGAAAAGGTGACTCATAAGTGATAACCAAAAGGGTTATACACCATAAAGAACAAACAACAACGGTGGATAACATCATCCCACTAAACAGAATATTTTCCATGATATACAAAAATAAAAGAAAAAGTGACTAATCATGTATTACCTTTCGCTTTGTATTACAGAAAATTACAGCCTGGGTAATTGTAAGAGTATCGTACAGATCACAGAGAGTATCAAACTTCCAATTTTCTCTTTCTACCGCAACGAAGAATTGTTTTATGCCCTGTCATGGTAAAATAGGCAAATTAAAAAAACATATTGGTGGACAGACTAGTCCTTATCAAAGTAAGCAGCATATATCTTACCTCAAGAGTCAATTCATCACGTTTTACAAGGATTCGAACAGGATCAGTCATGAATTTGCTGGTAATCTCCAATATTTCGTTAGGAAGGGTAGCGGAAACCAAAACAACCTGCGACAGAAATGCATATTCTTATAATGCAATAGCAGTCTAAGAGAAAGTATGTAGATTTCAACTCAACAGTGACACTAACTCTATCTGGGCCTGACACCAAATTCCAGTTAATCACAAAAAGATTCATGCCATATGCTATGAAGAAGACACCAACATGTACTAAAAGAGAGTAAAAGGAAAAATGTGTTGCATTCAAGATTTGGAAATGCAAACAACATAAGATGTGGTTGCTAAACATACATTCATATCACATCTGCCAACATCATTATAAATGATTTTCTGTATCATAGAGCACAAAGTTTTAACTGGCCCCATGAATGAAGTCCTAAAATTAGTTCATTGGATGTTTGATTTTTTGTCTAGATATCTAGTCGGCAAGTAGCTCTCTTATCAATTACTGGTCTGCCTTGCAACAGTAATGATGCCCGACAACTGTCACCTCCTAACAGAAAATGGACATATATGATTATCAATTATAGTAGTCATGTTATAGCTATTGGTAGTTTCAAGAGAGTAACATAACAGGTTACCTCACAAAAGTTATATAGTCATATATCAAATGATTAAATAGAATTACTGCATACACATTATTGATAGAGTTGAACAATACATTTGAAATTCAGTAATTGATTGTATGATGTTCTTCTTATCCCCCATCTTCTACGTCTATTCTTTGCCTACCTGTCTTCCATCGATTTAAAACCACATGCTCATCAATAACCAAATAGCATCTTCATTTTTTATTCATTGAATCTAAGAGCTATCATCTTTCCACAATTTGCTTAATGATGTCTATCTCTGCCTCCTTTAATAACCATCATTACATTTTTTTTCTATTTGGTTATATTCATTCTTTTCTTTTACCATTTTGAACCTTAGTAGTTGTTAGAAAACTTCTTGGGAAGACAAAAGCTGAATCCTCGTCATCAGATGGTTCTGGTAGGAAATCAAAATTCTGTAGGGAGCGTAGGAAGTACTTTTCTAGCGGAGGTTGACATAGCAATTATGTTATAATATGGTACATTTCATGTTAAGATATGCTAAGGTATGTTATTCATTTTAACTTATGCTAACTTATGTTAACATTTCCATGCTAACATCTTTCCTACCATTCTCACGAAATTTTTATTTCCTACACGATCCTAATTCTATATATGTATGCACGCACACACAACATTAAATATCAAATAAAATGTAAGTAATGTTATAGTCCATGCCATACGACAGCTTCCAGCAATTAATTTTACAGGACTTACAGCAAGCTACATGTATTGTACTATGTTTGTGCCAAGGTGTACATGAGAGAGAGAGAGAGAGGGAGAGAGATGTAGATCACCTGAAGCTCTGGTGGAAGGTACCGGTAGACATCATAAATTTGATCCTTAAACCCACGGCTCAACATTTCATCAGATTCATCCTGTTGAAATTTAAGACATTCACATGCATCAATTTACAGATTTACTTCCAAACAAGAAGTGAAAAAAATTTGAAGCACAAGTTTCAATACTAATTATAAATGGAAAAAAAAGTAGAAAACTCACAAGAATTAGTAATTTAATAGCTCTAGTTCGCAATGTTCTTCTCTTAATCATGTCGCAGACTCTGCCGGGTGTTCCAGAAACAACATGGACTCCATTTTCTAGCTTTCTTATGTCCTCCCCAACACTTTTTCCTCCAATGCATGCATGGGCTTGTATACTGATGAAATCACCAATAGCCAGTATCTGTTTCTCTGTCTGAGCTGCAAGCTCTCTTGTAGGTGACAAAATCAAAGCTTGGACCCTGTCAATGAAGATGTAGAATTGATAAATGGAACTACATGACTAAGGAAAAGAGATGAGAACTAAGTAATCAAATTTCCCATTGATGACAATAACAACTAAAAGGGAAATGTTTGAACCAGACATGTGCAAAAAAGTGGTAGCTTCATCATTGCAATCCAGTAGATAGCAAAGCATAGAATTCATTTTCAGATGCTATTGCATCCATAATTTAAACAAAGTGGTGTTGACCTAATGCTCAGTTCGGGCATACATCATCCCAGACAACTTTAGCAAGTGATTTCTTGTATATCAATATCAAAGGAAAGGGCCTCGTTGAAGTCATTGACAGATCTTCCTAATAAAAGTTGCTGCCTTTTTCATGTATATGGACAACTCAACCGACAAAAAGTACAGCAGCTTCACTAAATAGATACAACTTCGAATTTTCAGTTTTCTTTAGTGAAACACCCCCCAATCCAAACAAATCTGTAATAAGTTCTTATTTGAGTTAAGCGCTAGACAGTCACAGTGCCACAGTGGAACTAACCTAACAAGAACAAGTTGATAAATTCCTTATCTTTTCCATGATTCATGGGAAACCAACTTTCAACTCTAGTTGCAATTTAAGTTAAAAGAAATCATCGTTCAGACACATAAACGGAAATACGAGCTGGACTTGCCGAGTACAATAATTATTCGCTAAAAGGGCTAATAGAAAAATATAAACCGTTTAGAATGAACAATTTGCCAGCAAAAAGGGAGAAAAAGCTTCAAAATTAACCCCACAACACAAACCTACGGTTAATTTTCAAATTAATTGAAAACATAAGAGTGCAATTGAAGAAAATAACTAATAGGTACACAACAAAACATACTCTCTTGAAGCGGTGTCAACAATCTGGCAAACAGTAAGCGCAATCATGGAGGTTTTTCCGGTACCCGATTGCGCCTGCGCAATGACATCACGGCCTTCAATGATTGGCCTAACAGCTCTCTGTTGTATTGCCGAGGGTTTCTCAAATCCATGTTGGTAAATCCCACGGAGGAGATCGTCTTTGATCCCCATCTGGTCAAAACTCATGATCGGCTCCACTCCCCGCGACGTCTCAAACACCAGCTTCTCGTCGTCCACCATCGTATTCCGCCGCCCCCTATTCGCCGGCACCACTGACGTTCCCGCCATGAGATATTTTAGTAGTTTTTGGGCTCGTATTTCACCTCTCGTTGGTTTTTAGGGTTCCTCTCTGAGCCACCAAGTGAGAGCCACGATAGGATTTTGAAAGGCAAATAAGGGGAAATTGATGTGAGTGTGTGTATTTATATATGGATATAGGGTTTATCTGATATTAGGTTAAATTGGTATTCACCCCCTTTTTGAGGTTCTTTCAGCCATTAAACCCTTTTTTTTTCTCTGATTATTCTCATTGTATCCAATATCGTTGATTTTTGGATATTTAAATATTTTTATATCGTGGTTTTTTATTATAATTAATATTTATTATTAAATTTTATGTCATTAATCGATATCTATATCACATTATAAAGTATTTGACAAAAACTATTAAAAACTACTTTTTTTGAGTTTTAACAGAAAACTTAATTATTATATTTATAAAATGTTATATTATTAAACCAAAAATAAATTATTTCGTTATTAAACTTAAATTAAATTATTAAAAAAATTAAAGAAATTACATAAAAAATGAAAACTTTTAATAATTGATTTGATATTAACATTGATATCTTTTTTTCCAAAATTTTATTATATCTTCAAATTTATATTTTATTTAAAAATAAAATCGTTATTGTTTTCTTAAAAGCACATAATCTATATTATATTATAAAATATTTGACAAAAACTCTTAAAAACCATTTTTTATGCGTAAAATATTGTTTATTAATGCATATTACTTAAAACTCATGATTGCAAATAGATTGTGCGTAAATACAACTTGTTAAAGCTCTGTATATGAATTCGTGTAACTAACTGCAGATCTATATTATATTATAAAACATTTGATAAAAACTCTTAAAAACCATTTTTTATGCGTAAAATACTGTTTATTAATGCATGTTACTTAAAACTCAAGATTGCAAGTAGATTGTGCGTAAATACAGCTTATTAAAGCTCCATATCTGAATTCGTGTAACTAACTGCAAATAAACATAATCAAATAGAGGATAAATATCTCATTTTTAATATAAAAAATCTAAAATATAATTAGGATAATAATTGAGTTTTAACATAATACTTAATTATTATGTCTATAAATTGTTATATTATTAAACCAAAAATAAATTATTTCGTTATTAAATTATAATAAAAAAATAAATTAAAGAAATCACATAAAAAATGAGAACTTTTAAATAGTTGATTTTATATTAACATTGATATTTTTTTTCAAATTTTTATGATATATTCAAATTTATATTTTATTCGAAAAATAAAATCATTATTGTTTTCTTAAAAAACACATAAAATCGTATTACAACATCGACAGAGACAAATAATATCGAAAATTGTAACCCAATTGGTGAACCAGTATTGAAATTCTCAAGTCTTAGGTGACTTTCGACAGATAAAGGGTTGACATTGTTGAGCTTCCAATAAACTATTAGAGTTTAATGTATCTGAATGTCACTGGATCTGGTATTATGTATGTTGTGTGATTGGTCAGTGACTGTATGGAAATACAATCATATTTGTATCATAATTGCAAAACAAGTGTTTGAACCATGCTTTTTGGTATTTTCTACAAGAATTTTGAGTGTTTGTTTTAAATGATTTCATCGACGACAATTATGTTGGTGATGTGGATGATAAACGAAGTACAACATGCCATGTGTTTATGATTCAGATAAATTGTTGTATCACGTGTACCAAATAGGCAATGAGTTGTTAATTTGCATACAAATGAATCAAAGTTTACAGTTGCATCAACTTTTGCGTTCCAAGCAATTTGGTTTAGAAGAACGCTCGAAGGGTTATCTATCAAAATGGGTATCTGCACATGATAAATGGGGACTTGTCATAAAACCAACTAAACCCTGATACTTATCAAAATTATACAAAATATAAAATTATCTCCTACGATTCTCCAACCACCTTGCATGAATTATTACTTGCATCGTGCATGGGGAATGTCCGCGTCTTGTCGCAAGGCTCATTTTGAGTTGTCACCTTCATGCGGGGCTACCTAGCTACCATGGAAGACAAACCTTCCCCCATTGTCCATTCGAAGGGCGCTGACTTTCATTATCAGGGTATTTTCGAGGGGTGAAAGGTGCATGTGGGGTTTTCGTACGCGGCTTAGTATTCACCAACTAATCGCTTATGGACTGTTTACCAAACGCTTGTTCGGGTAAGCGCTTACCAAGTCACATCACCTTACCCGATGAATATGGTAAAGACCAAAAATCTTACCTGGTAAGAGCGAGACAAGGGCCAAGAGTCTTGCTCGGTAAGTGAAGGTGAAGACTCTAACCACAATTGGCGCTTACCGGATAAATAGTTGCATACAATGCCGTTTATGTTGGCTAAAATATTGTATGGTGAGTAAGTGATGGTGTTGAATTTTATTAATAAACGCTTATCGAGTAAGTGTTTGATAAACAACCCCTTAATCTTAACAAACTCCATTAAAAAATTTCAAGAATGATTGGCCAAACACACTTCCTTAATAGGCAGGACGGGCTGGGTCCAGTGGTTGGTCATGATTGTGAACAAAAACATGATAGTAAAAATTCTTAAATACATTATGTTAAACATATTGTAGGACTAATTAATGCATACCCTTGCAGCATCCAACTTTACCATTTTTTTTATTAACTTGGATAATTAACATGCTATGTGAGTCGATTAATCTCACGACGACCATCTGCTTTGCGGGTAGCCCGAGGTCACCGCATTTGAACCTCAATATCCACAAAGGAGATTTTTATTCCTTATTAAATTTAAACATGAGACCTCGAGACACTTTTGACCTTTGGATTCAAACTCAAACCAATCAGGTATCACCTTTGTAGTTTACTTTATAACTTATTATTGTATACAACAACCTTTTAAAGTTTCACATGCATACTCTATAAAACTAATTGATAGCCATATTCAAATAAACGATAAACATTGAATCAGACTAATATGACAAATGCTAAATATCTTAAAACTAAAATAAATTACACTATTAGTTTAAATCTAAAATATTTAAAATCATAATAAATTTTAAATCAAACAAATTACATAAAAACGATAATTTCATAAATCTTTATATTTGACGATCGTATAAATATATTTCTATTGGTGTTCAAACCAGTAAAAAAACGCGTTCAAGTAACAGTTGTAAGTTATACTGTATTCAAACATAATCCATGAATTTAATATCTTTAATAAGAAGATGTATTTTTTACCAACGATTTATAGTAAAGTTTAAAACCTTACTGTATCATACGAGCAAACAACTACTATAATGCATACATAATATTAAATAACGATATACAAAAAAAAAAAAAAACCGTCGAACATGATGTGTGATCCTACAATAATCGGATCCCATGTATAAAATAGAGTAAGAGACCGTTTACTAAATGCTTGTTTGATAAGTACTTACCGGATAAATTTTCTCATCGGATAAACATGACAAGAGCCAATAATCTTACCGGGTAAGAGCGATGAGAATGATGTAGAGTCTTACCCGGTAAGTGAAGATGACGATTTTTACTCTAATAAGTGCTTATCCGGTAAATTATTGCATTTAATACGTTTTGATGTACTAAAATCTTATGCATCAAGGTAAATTATAACGTTGACTTCTAATGATAAGCACTTATCGGCTAAGCATTTGTGTAAATATTTCAATCTTACCTTGTCCGGTCCAACAACTCCAATCGGTCGGTGGCGAGGCTCGACCGCAAAGTCGAGCCTCTCTATCTGGGTGGGTTGTCTTTCAAAGCACTGGTCTAACCTACACTCTTCTTTCCCTTATCTCTCAGCTTGTGCCTACCCTTGAAAACGGTCATTTTCTTTCTGTGTGTGTTTGCTTTCTGGAATGGCTATGCAATGATGCTAACTAAAACCCTCTCATTCAGATTCTCTTCTCACTCATGAAATTGATGGTTCTTGGTGAATGAAGCCAGAATCCAACCCTTACTGGTTCCAATGAATTCTACATTGAATTCCCCCGTCACATCCCCTAACCCGTTCACACCTTTCCTCAAGACCACCTCCTTCAATTTCTGTTCATCTTCACAGATACAGCATCAGTATCACCACCGCCGGCGGCGGTTTCATACACGTTTCACGGTTAACTCCTCACATATCAATAAAGCTCATGTTTTCCAGAAGCTACCCACCACTGCCGGCCTTGATTACATAGAGCAACGTCAGGATAAGGTATTGCTATCTCATATAATTACGCAAATTTCGAAACCGATTGCGTTTACAGTTTTTTGGATTGTAATTGGGTTATGTCCAAGTGGAGGGTTTTACCAAAAACCTGCAATTGCTGCCCCGGTGACAAGTGAGTCTTTGAAGACGAATAGGAGGAAGAGTAAACAAAGAGTGAGCAATTGGAAAGATCATGAATTTTCTGAATATACAAGGAGGTTACTAGAAACTGTTTCTGGGTTAGTCAGAGTTATTGAGGAGGTTAGGTCAGCCAATGGGGACTTAGAGAATGTGGAGGTGGCATTAAAGGATGTCAAATTGAAGAAGAAGGAATTGCAAGATGAAATTATGAGCGGGCTTTATGCAGAGTTACGGGAATTGAGGGGAAACAAACTAGAGCTGGATAGGAAGTCAGGGGAGATTCTTGATTCCATGATGAAGTCTAAGAGAGAAAGAGATATGATTCTGGAAAAAGGTGGGAAAATGGAGGCCAGGGAACAGACACAAGTGGCGGAGTTGGATGAGATGATTAGCAACAAAGAGAAGGAATTTTATGGGATTTCGGAGGAAATCGGTGAAATTGAGGATAAAATGTTGAGGAGAGAGACCATGGCTTTGAGCATTGGTGTTAGGGAACTTTGTTTTATAGAGAGGGAAAGCATGGTCCTGGTTGAGAATTTTATTCGGAAAATGAAGCAGAAAGACACTGACAGGTAAATTTTCTAAGATTGGTGGACCATGTAGCAACTAACTTTTGGCTTAGTATGAACATTTGTTATTATAATAGAGTGGTTAACATTTTTAATGTGAAATTTTTAATAAGAAAATAGCATATCTTTGGAGGCTCTAGTGAGGAAGTTCTGCTACATGATAACATGATTTTTTTAAGTAGAATTATCACAATGCAATATCATAGACATGGCAATTTCGCGCCTGATCAAGTCTACTAGCATAGGCTGTATACACCTGAAAGAATGGCTCAAAAATGCTGATGTTGTGTTACTATTCACAACTCAACATTTTATTTCTGCAATCCGTTGTCTATCAACAAGTCAATTATTTTTGCATATTGACATTTTCTCGCTTTCACACACTTCCCACTAGCCATGGGTCTTCATGGAAACTAAAGGGTAGAGCTCATGTCTGGGTACATCTCATCCCTTGCAGACCCTACCTCCTGGTGGGACATACTAAGCTTGCTTGGTTTGGTTTGTTTGATGTTGGTGGTTGAGAATTCGATATATCCTTATTCAAACAGAAATTTTGCGCATGAAAGATTATTACAAACAACTTAGATGGACTGTGGGAACACTCTAACTTGTCTCATTAGTAGTATGAAGATGATTTCAAATCTGTGGCACAGATATATATATATTATTCTTTTTGGTGTATGTATATTTATTTATTTTAGTTTAGGAAGTCACCTCCAAAGTGCAATTTGGATCACTTTGTATCTTGAGTACATCAGTGGGGCATTCATTGAAAGTTCCAGGATATAGCAGTAATAGGGGAGGGAATTTTCTCACTTTAAGTATAATGAATTTCACGCTTGGTTGGGGGTGGGAAGGGTTGGGGAATGGACCTTACCCTTGATACATGTGGCAAAACAATAGGAAACACAAATCAAAGAGCAGCCACGTGGAAGTTATTCCCTATAAGGCTATAATTAGTTACACCACAAATAGCATCAAATCAAAGCTCATTATCACTGCCCAGCAGCTTCAGTATTGATCACTTTATCAGAATGATGGGTATATGTCCGGGAATGCGTATTGGCCACTTGGTTAGTGCCACTATAAGCATGCACTTGTTCTGTTTTACCATGGACTCGCTGCTAAATATCTGTCACAGTTTATACCACATTCCAAGAAGTGTGGAATACCTTGTAACCAAATCTAGTAATACTAATTAATTGTCATGTAATTGGAGAGATAGAACGTTGATATGGATGTAGCTGAGCCAATCGCAAACTAACTAAAAAGCAACTGGTAGATCCCTAATTACCAGAGTAAGACATTGTTTGGCAAACATAAGCTAGCTTATAAGCTACCTTATTTTTTGAGTAACTGGTTAGATGCACATAAGCTAGCTTATAAGTCGGCTTATAAGCTAGCTTATTGATAAGCTACTTGGAGTAGCTTACGAGGAGCTTTTTGACACTTCTTCCAATTATAACCTGATTAATATTATTTATTCATTTATTATTAAATAAATATTACCTATTTATTTATTCATAAATATTAAATTATAGTAATTAAAATTAATTAAAAATTATTAACTAATTTTAGTTATACAT